GGGGGGGGGGACGAGGGTGGCTCATTAACCATCTAGAGAACGTTTGAAGCCCATCTTGGAGACGGCTCCCGAAGGCTCAGGACCGTAGCCACACTGCCACTCCCCTCGTTCACTCACCTCTTCTTGTCTGCTCTCCGGCAGCCCGCTGGGCACTGCACCAATGCTGGCTGCCCTGGGCTGGGTCCCAGGGCCAGTCCAGGCAAGCGGGGCAGTTTCAAGCTTGTGATTTGAGGTCCGAGGCTGGCTCCTGGTTGCTACCTCAAGAGGAAAACCTCCCTAGGTGTTAAGTAGAGTTGACTTCAGGGGTGTGATGGAGCAGAGCCCGCAGGACTTTAATCCATGGTTGCCCTGTGGCTCAAGAAGAGAAACAATAACTGCAAGAATCCCGTGTTCATCTGAAGGTGGAGTGTCTGAAGTAGGGTTCCGGGACGATTGGAAGTCAACAAAAATGAAATGGAACACATCAAGATCAATGTCCTGGGCATCTGTGAGCTGAAGTAGGCTGGTATTGTCCACTTTGAGTTGGGTAATCATATGGGTCACTATGCTGGAATGACCAATTCAATGGGAATGGTGTTGCATCGCATCCATTATAAACAGAACACGTCGAGATCTACCTTGAAGTAGTTAGGTTAAAAATGAACACCTTACCATCTCTTCTCCCTTTGGACCATTTTAAATTTGTTCTGGATTTTACTGATTTTGATTTTGTTTTCGATCCAGGTTTTTCTCTGTTTCATTCTTATTGCTGTTAGGCTCTTGTTTCTGTGTGTTTTTCTTTGGATGAAATCCACGATAGGGAAACTATAGAGAAAAGAACTGGATTAATAGTTTCTTGGGGGGATGGCAGGAGAGGTTGAGGGGGGTGGGTTTGGAATGGGAAGCTAATGAGTATAAGAAAGAAGAAATTGTTCTAAAATTGACTGTAAGAATGATTCCAAAACTCTTTCTAAACTATTAAATTGTGTGGTATGTGAGCTATATGTCAATAAAACTGTTAAGCATTAAAAAAGATATCTGTTTTGATATACAATGCTGTCTTAGCTAGGATAATATCTATATGCTTACAAGGAAGACCAGTTAATACAACTGTTATTCACACGTATGCACCAACCACTAAAGCTAGTGATGAAGAAAGTGAAGAATTCTACCAGCGTCTTCAGTCTGCAATTGGTCAAGCATGTAATCAAGATGCACTGATAATTACTGGTGATTGGGATGTGAAAGATGAAAACAAAGGAATTTTTTTTTTTAAAGAACCCTCAACTCCACATTCACTGCCATTGGATTCTGAGTCCTGCAGGAGAAGGTAGCACGAATCCACAGAGTTTTCAGTCTGTAAATCTTTCCAGGAGCAGAATGGGCTATCTTTCTTCCTCGTCGTGGCTGGAGGGCTTGAACTGCCAACCTTTTGGTAAGCAGCTGAGCACTCAAACCACTGTGCAACCAGGGTTCTTTGAGGAAGGATCAGAAAATATGGCCTTGGTGATGGAAACAAAGTTGGAGATTGCATCATACAGTTTTCAAAGCCAATAGCCTTTTTATTACAAAATCCTCTTTCTTTGGCAATATAAACAGCCACTATACACTTAGGCTTTACCACATGGAACCCACCGGAATCAAATGGACTTCATTTGTGGGGAAAGAAGATGGAGAAACTCAGTATCACCAGACAAAGAAAGCGAGGGGCCAACAGTGGAGCAGACTGTCCATTGCTCATATGCAAGTTCAGGTTGAAAGGATGAAAATTAAAACAAGTCCACGAGAGCTAGAATCTGACCATGAGTATTTCCTACCCCAACTTAGAGACCATCTCAAGAATGGATCTGGCAAGCTGGACACTAATGGCCGAACGCCAGATGGATTTTGAGGTGACATTAAGAAGATCATCCATAATGGGAGGCAAAAGGCCATTACAAACCCAGGGAAGCAAGAAAAGATCAAAACGGATGTCCGAAGAGATTCTGGAATTTGCTCTCCAAAGTAGCTAGCTATAGAGAATGGGGGAAGGGATGAAGTGAAAGAGCTGAACAACAACAACAGCAACAACATTAAAAGGCAGCTGGAGAAGACGAAAGAAAGCATGATGCAGAGACCTGGGGTGAGAAAACCAGAAGGGAAGAACGCATCGCACATCTCAGGCTGAAAGAACTGAAATATTGAAGGATTGACTCTATGGGCAAAATATTGAATGCAGTCTGAAGCACCCAAAGAAGATGGGAGGAATGTGCACTGTCACCGTCCCAACAAAGAACTGGCCGACAGTCAAGTCTTTCAGGAGGTACTGCATTGTCAAGAACCAATGGCATTGAAGGAAGCTGCCCTCTGAGTGTTGGTGAGAAACAGGACTTCAGGAATGGATAGAATACCATTGGACATTTCCAACATATTGATGCAGCACTGGGAACACTCACTCATCTATGCCAAGAAATTTGGAAGACAGCTAATTACCTGGTCAACTGAGTGGACGGGATCTATAGGTGTGCTCATTCCAAAGAAAGACGACTCAACAGGATGCCCAAGCTAGCCAGCAATATTATTGACATCACGTGCAAGGGAAACTTTGTAAAGATGATGCGAAAACAGTCACAGCGTCACATTGACAGCGTGCTCCTTGAAATACAAGCTACATTTGCAATAGAACATGGAAGGAGGGATGTCACTGCTGAATAACAGATGGATTGGGGCTGAAAGCAGAGACTACCAGAAAGAGGTTTATTTGTGTCTCATTGACGAGATGCAAAAGCTATGTGGATCACCACAGATGATGGATAACATTTTGAAAAATGGGAATTCCAGGACACTTCCATGTGCTCATTTGAAACTTGCACATAGACCAAGAGATAGCTGTTTGAATGGAACAATGGGGATCATGCATACTTTAGAATCAGGAAAGGTGTGTGTCCGAGTTGTAACATTTTACCACACTTGTTCAAGAAGCTGGCCTCTATGGACAAGAAGGCAGTATCAGGATTGGAGGAAGGCTTATTAACAACCTCTTTTATGCAGATGGTACAACCTCATCCACTCAAGGGAGGCAGATGAAGCACTTGCTGATGAAGACCAATTCAACGTAATGAAAGCAAAAGTCATAGTACCTGAACGGAAACTGGACCAATAAGCAACACCATAATAAAGAGAAAAAAGATTGGGATGTGCAAGGGTCGACCCACCATCCATTCTCAGGAAGCGGCAGTCAAGGAATCAAAGTGTATTGCACTGGGCAAATCTGCTGCAGAAGACCTCTGTCAGGCGCTAAAGACGAAGACATCCCTTTAAGGACTCAGGTGCTTGTGACCCACCCAGGCTGCCGATGCTTTAATTGTTTCACGTGCATGTGAAATCTGGAGACTGAATAAGGACGACTGGAGTAGACGCGATGCGCTTGATTTATGGTGTTGGGGAAGAATGTGATGGTAGGTACCATGGTCTGCCCTCAGAACAAACAATCTGTCTTGTCCAAAGTACAACCTGAATGCTCCTTGGAAATCAGGATAGCACGTACTTTGGACTTGTTAAGCAGGATGGATCGGTCCTGGGAAAAGAACAGCATGCTCCGCAGCGTTTTAGAGTAAAAGGGGACCCTTGAGAAGGATGGACACAGCGGCTCCAACAACGGCTCATACATGACAACTGTCGTGTGGTGCAGGGCCCTTTCCTTCTGTTGTACGTAGGATCGCTGAGTCCCAGCGGGCTTCAGGGTACCTGACACGCTTCAGGCTGTTCAAGAGTGAAATGGACACAGCACCTTTTACAGTGCTTGGCATAAGGCCTGACCCCAGGCAAGTGTTCAATAACCAATAGCTGTTTTTTCTTTGCCTTTTAGAAAGCCCCTAGGCCCAGGTCTCCTCCTGATACCGGCCGGCCGGACTAGGAACACAAACGCTCCCACGCCGCCGAGCCCCAG